TGTCCATGTCGCATTTCCGATGCACATGCAGACACATGCTTGCATACAAGATTGGCTGTGGTTTCACCATGGTGCCATTACAATTACCGCCAACGTACTCACTCTTAGGCCAACATCACTCACAAGAGAGCGAGCGGGAGACGAAGTCTGACATGTCAGCACAGAGAGTATCAGGTTAGTTTCGCAACCGGGAGAAGGAACTCACGAAAATTACGTGTAGCATAAAGCGTGAGCAATGATCACAGTCTATGAAAGAAATGAGTGATCAATGTAACGATGACACGGAAGATCTGCTTGCCTGCAGTGCGTTTCAATGGAGTGATGTTGTTGAGCTCTTGTAGATCACAAACCGGACCGCGGAAAGAAAAAATAACGAATAAGGTAGCGGCTGTACAAGCGTATAAGAACGGTTCAATGAAACAAAAGAAGGGGGCGCAACACGATCCAATCATTGGGGAAAGAAGATTGGATGTTGATTCGTTTTACAACATGGAGGCGATTATACCGATTGTCCGTTCATTATCATCAGTGTGATGTGCGCTGAACGACATAAAGCAAAAACGCACCGTACGTCTCAATCACTACCGACGGAATTCGCTTTGAAAATCGAATTGAGCATGAAGATGATGATCAGCTCATTCTGAAAAAGAAATAAAGACTGTGGATTGTTCATAGTCCATAGATGATGGGATACAGGGTTTCACAACAACAAAAATAGCCTTATATGAAACAGTCTGAGGAAATAATCCAAAATGTGCTCATCTCCATGATAAATGACAAATGATTGAAAAATGTCGAGTGTTGTAACCAAAATGCGATTTCTCATCATAAAAAGAATTTCAGATGTAATTCTGATGTAAAGTTAAAGTTAACAAAGTACCGGTAGCACGGATTCTTCGTTCAAGTTGACGACAAACATTGGGTGAACATGAGGTTTTGTTTACGATCTCTGGATGATGACAATTCTTCTCTCGAACACTGGAAATGATGTAGTCGACGCCTTCAAAACTACCCGGTTCGTAAGAGGATCGTAGACCAGATAGATCCACTGAAAGTAAACAATGGCTCATTGCAAAAAAATGAGGACAGAGAAACGGAGTTAGCCCCTAACATGAAAAAGCAACACGTAAGGAAGATGCTTCGCTTTTAACAAGACTAGTTGATGGAGGGGTAACCAACGAAGACCAACTATGAACAGGCTTGTCTCGACAGATTTCGACACAAATATTGATTTTGGAAAACGTGAAAATAAAAAATAACAACAGTGAAGTCCGAAATCATCACACAATCCACTTTTTCAAAGTAGAGTGATTTGCAACGCCAAAGCTGAATTTAGTAAGCACACTCTGGATGAAAGTTTGTATTCTGATTATTCATCTATTCGTTGCGGTCATACGTTTCAGATGTGAACACTGGGTTGATAGAAACTCTCGACAACGGTGTTCTGGATGCGTTTTGACAACTGGATGAATTTGAAAAATCAAAACATAACTGGAGTTTATCCGATCAATTAACTTTGGTTAGAAACGTGCACAAAGAGTTGCACCTGACGAGCAGTTTCGATAGCTGATCCCGAATCAGAGTATTTAAGGAGCGAGTGTCATTCTCGGATTTTCATCACTTCTGTACGCAAACAGTTAGCTGGTCCGGTATCTATGTGAAGATAAGGTTCTGGTTCGGAGCGTGGAGTTTTTCAACGATACTCAAACTTTTATTATTATACTCTTGTTAATGCCTATTGGTTTATCTGTAACACTCGGATGCTCGAGAAAAAAAAATAAACGAAGATCGGCTACAACCGTATTTGGTACTACCATTATCCCTAGACGATCGATTTTTACATGCGACTGATAATTGAGGCATACAATCGGACATACACACATTGCGTCGTACTTCGGTTACGTAGAATAGTCCAGTCACACGCACAAACACACCAACGCCACAAGACACGCGGTCACACTAGGGCATAAACAATTGATGTTAATGAAAACATCATGTATTGATTATTTCTGGTCGATATCTTCTCACAATTCAATCCTTACCGCTGGTCAGCGTCTGAGTTTTCCAATATAAGTGTGAATAGGTGATTGGTGTTTGCTCCATGGTTGAGTATGCAATTGTTGTCTTAGGAATTGTTCCAATCTGATGCAGTATTTCGGAGGCATTCAACCCAACGGAACTGCAATATTAACAGAACCAAACAGAAAACGCTCCTTCCAACTAATCGTCGTTATATTTCACCTGTTCAATACGTCATCTGTTACGAAGAAACATGAGGTCGAATAAAGACTGTCCAGCATGCAGTTAATCAGCCCGATGTGTTGAACACCCTATTGGGGGAAATTAATTAGATGATGATTCTCAAACATGCATTTACGAGTGCATGAATTTACACATGTTAAACACCGCGAAGAAGTAAACCAAACATGCCCACGTCTGGGTCCAATTTATTTCACACGAAACTACTAGACAGCTACAAGCTTCCCTCCCTCCAGTGAACATAAACCAGTGCACTACACATTTATGTGAATCCATCGAGCAAAGACAAACACGATGACCACATGCAGATAGGGGTGTACTTTATGCTCCATATCAATAAACCCGGAGGCGAAATGTATTGAGACCAATAGATGCAACGTTAGTCGGGCATACTGCATAGGAACATTACCACATAAATGCACCGACAGTAATATAACGAATAAATTTGAGCATCGCGGTGTTGATGAAACCAATACCAGAAACGACAAACGAATTACTACAAATTAAAAAGTACTGACCAAACGAAGAGCGTAGGCACAAGTGATGATGAGGCAACTTCTGATCGACTGTTGTTATTTTTAATGGATACTTGAAGTACCGAGGTAAGCTCAACATTTTGCGGAATAACAACGATCACATATCAGAATCGGATATTGATTTTGTTAACAGATCGGATATAAACAATCAAAGACAATGCAAATGTGATCACAACATAAATCAGTGTTTGCAGCGAACTGCGAAACATGAATGTCAACGATCTGAAAGAACGTTTCTGCTGCATTTTTAATCACGAGATTAAGGGAGTTATGATGAGAACATTGGAACAAATAGTATCTCATTAGATACTTTTGTTCAGATTTTTTAACGTCAGAAAGAAGGAAACGATACGTTGTCACTTGATGGGTTAATTGCTAGCAACACTTCATAACCGGGCGTTTCGCATTTCGTTTATCTAAGATGACACGGTAGGAAACGCGAACAACGGCAGCATCACGGTGGAGAAACGTAACACTTCCACTGTGTTTTGGATATTCGTAACTGAACTCGAACCGCTACACCGAAAAACGATTGGTCTTCAACTGTTGTGATTCCAAATCGCAGAAACACGTCCGAAGACACACGGCGGATACTGAACCGTATCAATATGAGGGTTGTGTTCAAAAACACTGACGTAATTTATTCAACACTGGTTATTCTCAAAAATCCGCGTACAAAAAGGGAAACTTCATACGTAGTCTATAGAATACGTCATCTAGACTGTCCAATAACGGACGCCTGCAAGACGTCCAGAAGCCTGGACAAACGAATGACTGAGCACATGCGTTTAACGAAGATTCCAAATGATGTAACAGGTTGGAATCGAGTGGAACACAGCTCGGCAGTCGTTGGTCACGCAATGTGCGAACGACGTGCGAATGATTTCAAAACACCGCGTATTCCAAGGTGTTGATTCAGAAGGCACAAGGAACGTTTGGTAGCCGAAGCGTTTCTGATCAACGCTGAACCCACGGAAATCAATCAATCCGATGGTGCAGCTATTCCGCAGCTATGACAACAATTGACACTTGTGCATACAATAGTCTCGTCCCCACCCCCAATGCCAAATGACCAATTTAGAGGTTTTTACCTTAAAGTCAAACCAATTTCACTCATCCCAACCACCAACGATCACTAACACATACACACACACACACACACACGTGCATGCTAGAATCACATCAGAGTTCTACAAGATGTCGCCATTCCATCACCTCATAATTGCTTGAAATGTGAGATTAACCGATTAAACGATTTGAGAAAGGCCTTTCAGAAGGTTCGAAACGTTGTCACAAACGTCTTGTGTTTTGGTTTTTTCGTTCATCGTGGCTAAGACAAGTTAACTTCCTCAATAATAATTGCTTTTAGTGCAAACAAATTTATATAATATGAAAACAAAAACTTACGAACAAGGAACTTCGGATACCCCATTCTCTTCGTCATCCGCTTCTTCCATGCGAGATCCACTATTGGTTGTTGAACGTCTCTCTCTTTGGCGCGGTCGTCCATCGGTACTTGGAGCCGCCCCAAACAAGAAGAGGTGATCACCTGTGTGCAGCACTGAGCGAAGAGTTGCCAGAGGAGTAACAGTTGGCTGATGATGGGAGGAGCCAGCACCCCGACCCGAACGAGTAGATCTGTGCGATGACGATTCGGTGCGGCGAACGAATGAGGTGGAACCAACCCTCGATGGGTTGTCCGAGTCTGTGCTACCCACGTCTTCTTCTGCAGACTCATCGTCTTCGTCGTCATCAAATACACTGCAAGCAATGGGAGGCTGAAATGCCGACGAAGTCAATTCATTTCTTGCTCTTTTAGTTTTGGGTTTAGCAGAACTTGAGGGGTTTTCGGAATCGCAGGGGGAAGAAGTAGTGACAGTGACCGAAAGTCTACTAGAACCTGCTTGACACCGATTACGGCGACCTCGTCGTGAGCCCCTTCGGTTATCCAACGGCCGTGCGACCCGGGTCATATCAACCGAACTAGTTTCCTGCTGTTGGGTGACTCCGTTCGCTTCTGGGGTTATGGCGGGGTCGGGTTCACCTGTATATACAGTAGCACCTCGAGCCTCGGGTTGATCGTCAAGATCATCAGGATTGTCATAATCTTCATCTCCAGCTCCATCGGCTGGGACTGCAGACTCCTGAACATCATTATCTTCCTCACCATCATGATCCATCTCATTCATATCCCACTCAATGCGGACCTCAAAATCACCATCTTCATCACTAGGACTTTTGGACTGGTGTCGACTACGTCTTCGTGCACGTGTCTCACGAGGGCCGCTGCCTCGTCTCTCCCCTCTATGTACAATCCGAGGACGACGGGGACGCCGACGAGTAAAACCAGCATCCAAACCAGAAATACGATAGCCCATGTTGAGCAAAACAAGCTCCAATGGATCGGTAACAGAACGACGCTGATTGCGCTCGGCAGCACCAACATGGTCCTTGATAACTCGACTATCCTCGAGATCATCCTACAATGTAAGGGGTAATCAGGAGTTAGCACCTGGGTAAAACGACCGTGTATTGTTGTAAATGGACCCGGAAACTAATATTTATCCCAAATTAGCCATATTGAGAGAAGAAGGAAAAATTTCAATCTACCCGTTTAGCGGATTCCATTTCTACGAGGACTCCATGTAAATGCACAGCCTTTTTGGGATCTAAGTACAGTTGATTCGATGGAAAAATCCCACTAATCTAAACTGTTCGGACAGAGCTAGTTGTAAAAACCAAATGATTTAACTCAGAATTTACGCATGGTCGTTTCCTGAGAACTAGTAAAGCATATGGTTGCACCATTACTGTAGCGGAAAATCAAAAACCGCTTATCAGCCGTCATAAAATAAGCGCTTGTACTGTTTCTGGTGATGCGGGGAACTCGAACATGGAGAGGATGAAAGACAAAGATCCTCTCAACTCTTTCGGGATGCAAATGACAGTCACTGCATTTTGGAGGGTTCAATTAATTGAATTAGATCTGCTAGTTCACAAAGAAAAGTTTGACTAAAGCAAGTGAAGTCTATATTTTGATTACCAGCAACGATGTAATCAGGGTGCAAGGACATACTATAACCGAATAATTGAGTGAGTAGAGACTATTTCCGCTGTCTGGCCGCCATGAACTTTCTTTTTTTTCACTAGCCGAGGTGACAACATCAGTGCTTGCGAAGTAGCGGCTGATGATGAAACGTTTCCAGACAAATTGCCAAGTTCGGCGAACAGGCGAAATAGAATTCAGTCCACTCGAGCTACGAGAACCGATTTTCAATATTTTATCAAGCTATTTGATAAAAAGGTGGGATCTTTTTAAATACACTCTTTGGTTTGATGAACAGCAAGACGGAGAAAGCACCATAGTCACGAGGACCTGTTGTTCAGTGGTGGCAACCGGCAATCCAAGTCCCGCAGAACATGGAATGGCGAACCACATAAGGCCTCAGTAGGTTAGGCCTGGTATTGAACCGTATAAAAGCAAATCTGCCTACCACCAAAGTTGTGGTGGTGGCGGGGCTCGAACCTCGGACCATAGGGTCCGAAGCACGCAAGTGACAGCGACTAAACCACTGCGCCACTAACAATAAAAATCACGAAGACAGATGAAATATGGTAGTCACACAAGAGTTTAGAAACTTACTTCCGGTCTAGGAGACCATAAACGAACCACCGAATCAATCCCTGAACTAGCCAGAAGGCAAATAGATGGATGAGGTTGAACACAGTTCACAGTAGAACTATCCGCCTCCAAAATGCGGACTGTATTTGTTGTATATCGATCCCAGATGAACATGGAACCACAGTCAGATCCGGCCACAATGTACTGTCCATGGCTGCAGAAAAAGACGTACTTGTATAGCAGTTTCAAAGAGAATAACAAGAAGTCCAGTACATCCTTTATGCACCCCGAAGGGCGAATATTCAATAACGATGGATCCAACACAATATAATAAATCTGAAGGCCCCGCCAAGAAAGAAAACAACGGCAGCCCTCTCATTGGCCGCTTCCATCTTCCTGAAAAATTGTCCTTGTGTATTCACATAGCCAGTGTGTGCAAAACAATGTTTGGAATAAGACGTTCTGGATACGAGTCTCAGGCGAATGGATCAGCTAGCATAACTAATGAAGAGAAGAGAAGGTTGAAGCACATATCCAGTGCCTATCCATATAGAAGTTCAAATGTTTTGTCTCGAATGAAACAATTCGTTTAGGCGAGTGAATATGCTTAAGACAAATCGGGAATATAGAACCATTGTTAACTGATCACTTGATCCTTTACAAATTTGTATAGATTGTACGAAGGTCACGTTGCTAATGTATTATGAGGCCTGTTTGAATTATATTTTACGGAGGATGAAATACGTAAAAGGAGAGGAAAGCTCTTACTGCTTAGATATTGAAAATGAACTTGGAACGGGAAAATAATCCAACACGGAAGTGCTTTGCGTTTTCTATCTCGTTGAATACGTATCAGATACGAATAATTACTAAACGAGGTAATACATAGTTCCTGATTAATTCGACGAAGTTGCTTCGGGAGGATACGACTGACTTCGCAGTTATTGCCACTTGTCCGGTATGCATACCACGTACTCCTTCATTGGATCATGCATGCATACACTTGATCCCCATACGTATTTTCGACACAAATCTCTGAGGTGATTCTCCAGTTGTATTTGTTGCGGACATACAATTCTTATACTGTCCGTTAGTGAGTCCATTCTGATTCAAAATGACCTTCTTTATTGTCTTTAATTTCTTTTCTGTTTATCAAGTGTAGAAATGAACAACCCATTTTCAAAAATGGCGCAATGGCAATAGAAAGGCTATCTAGAGACATACAGAGAGGGGGGAAACTCGGCGAAGGTGGCGTGGTTGGAACGCAGGATAACCAAGTCATTATTTTGATTGCCTTAATCTCTCGATCACTGCCGCTTATACGCTAATAACTGCAATAAAGGTGGCTAAAAACCTCTTAGCCTGTGGAGTATATATATATATATATATATATATATATATGTATATATATAGAGAGAGAGAGAGAAGTGCTATACTGACTACTCCGACAACCATCTGAGCATCACTTGAATTTATGGGTCAAAGTCGTAATCATTACCATTTGAACTCAGCCCTGAGTAGTCAGTACTCCTCTACAATTATTGACCAAACTCGTGCAACATCCTGATTTTCATCACATTTGTTCCTCTCAATACTTCGTTTTTCCAGCCACATTCACGGTATTGATTATGATATGGCCACGCATCAGACGCAACATAGCTGAAATAATAGTCACTTATGTCACTGCTTCTATTAGCCACATGCCATTAAAATGTACAAATTCTCGATTTCAACGACTTTTGCTAGTGCATCAGTTGTAAGGTAACAAAGTCACAGTAAAAAACGTAATTGTAATTTATTTGTTAAAATGACTCATAGATTTTATACAGGTATTGCACTTTCATCTCGTCCATGTTCCATTTACTCTTTTTCATTTTTCAGCACTGGAGGCAGTCGCTTTAGCATGGAATCCACCAAGTTGTCTGCCAAATCGAATTTGCAAATTTCCTCTAATACACCGCACACCCTTAACGTCGGCGACTAGTGGCAAGGTAGCTAACTTATCCCTATTTCTGATAGATGGAAAAGTTTAAGATTAAATTAAAATCCCAGCTGCTACGCGTTAATAGAACGCATTTGACATTGAAATCGACCCCCCTGGAAATAGCAAAATTGTGAAAAAAATTTATTTAGGTTTAACCACTTTCTACTACCAACCTCAAGCGAGAAGATATACCAACCTTCATGTGTGAAAAATATGACCTCCGCGAATGCATTTTGGGAGTGACCGTTATCAAAAACCTCCCTTATCAGTGCAGGAAATTTTGATATGTCCATACTGGCGTATGCAGGAGACCAACAACAATGCCCTCAATAAACACTTCCCTTCCAACTCGCTAGGCGGTGTAGATATTTACTTCTTTTGACAGATAAAAAGAAAGTCATTTGAAAACTAGCTCAGTAGATCAGCTTTCACCACAGGCTGAATTATTCGATGGGCACCAGTGAGATAAACCCATTGCCAAATGGACGGACAACGCGATTTGAAGTTGTTGGTAAAATCAATACGCACTATGCTTTGTTGGGCGCTCCATATTGGCTTCATATCACGTGGACTTAACTGCATTTTAAATTGAACCATCATTTCCAAACGAAAGCGTGAGGAAAAACGGCTAATCAGTCCGGACTATCCTCCAGGTTTGTTTTCTGCAACTCTTATCTGCTGCGATCAAATACAGCCATCGTCTTGCTGTGAAATGATCGGCTTTCACCCTCCCGATCAATCTCTTATTGCAGAAGTTTCGCTGAATATGTACCAAATTGGACATCGAAGCGCTTCCACAAGATATCAACTGAGCAAACAGATTTATGCGCCTCTCGGCTTTCATTATTTGCCAAAACCTTTGAAAGTTTCATCCGGTTTGGGCATAGTGACACTACAGGAGGCTTATTCAACGAGCCGCACATCTCAAGGTCAACTTTCGAAGATCAAGTTGTGTGTTTCTTGGACTGTTTTCAGTTCATATCGAAGCGTTTCCACAAGACACCAAGTGAGTGATCGGATTTACGCGCCTCTCGGCTTTAGTTATATACCAAAACATTTCCAAAGTTGCATCCGGTTTGGGTATGGTGACGCTACGGGACGCTTATTCAACGAGCCGCACATCTCAAGGTCAACCTTCGAAGATCAAGTTGTTTCTTGGACTATTTTTTTTCCGTTCTTTCAATATTGTGGATAATGCGTGAGGAGATTGTAGCCAAATAATTTATCATTTTACGTAACCTAGAATGTTCTCATTAGTTGGCTTATTTGTTTTGCGCTGGATGAAAAGAGATAAGAGAATTAGAATATGTGTGCTCAACTTAATAAACACTCATGGGACAGGAATCATTTAATAAAAAGAATCTGCTCCCATGCTGCTTTGCCCAAAATAGTTTGTAAATCAGAGCTGTAACTTTAGAACTACTACACTCAAGGTCGCGCACATTCAAATGGTGACAGAAATGAACTAAGAACATAGATGTTGGAGATAAAGTCAGGAATATATACACTTTACTCATACCCATCTATATATCACTATGATATTGCAAGCTGAAATGGATTTACAAAATTAGGGTGAGGTTGCACGAGTTTGGCCAACACCTATATATATATATATATATATATGCAACACTGGGTATTCATTGGATGGACAGCTCTTTCAGAGTAAGTCTAATGAAGAATCAATGGTATGATTCGATGTTTTATATGTAACGAGTGGCCAAAACCGCGAAACCTGTAGTGTGCTTCGAGGGAAATTTTGTCCAGTCATTCACATACTACTTATTATGATATATATATACATATATCAGAAACATTTATTTTGGCTACGAGAACCACCGTCCGTGCGTAATAACTATTTGTTCAAAGCATTACGGTCAGTCAACCAACGCGTATACGGCAAACACTACTATCAAAATTACTAACAAAAATGAGATTAGAAAAACGGGAAAACAAATGGTTAGAACAAACCTTCCAAAAAAGTTTGCTTCCTTGATATCTGTAATTTTATTACAATGTCCAAGATAGCGCTGCGTAAAATCCGACGCTTTTGCGCACCGCATATTTACCGCATCGTCCTCCGGTTTCCCGATACTTGTCAAGCAAGCCAAACAAGTGCACAGTGGGGACGGGGATACACTTCGACTGCTTGCATTCTCAACCGGACTGGGAGACCAAATCACTTCGTCAGGAAGGTCGAGAAGATCGGGGGGATTGACTGGTGCCGCTTCCGTTGAGCTATGCGAAGCAGACGCAGGATTAACTGAATCTGAATGAGCTGCCTCATTGGTAGCAGACTCGCGCGCGGACCCACTAGCTGTTGACGCTTCGGATGGAGTGGCCTGGGATGACGTGAGTCGAACAACTTCTTCAAGAACCATTGTAGTCCAAGAAGGTTTGAGAAACTGGTCCGGGTCTATGCGAAATTCACGGGGAACGGATGCATTTAAGTAGAAGGAATTAGTAGTGGCATAATTCTGATCGCTTACGAAAACGAACTTAGACAAACCCAAGGATCATCAAGCTTTTTAAACAGAACTCACTCTAACGATGGTAACTACACATGAGATAGAGAAC